CTATGTCTGAGACCTGGGATAACTGGACACAAATCAACAACTGCTGGAGAACCCCAGACTAAGTAGTGCTTCTCAGCAGACACTGAGAGGCAAACCTGACCAACAGGAAGACAAGGGACACTAGCGGCCTTTACTGTGCAGGCACTGCAGAGGGAAACTGAGTTTTCTGCATTTGCTGTAAAACATGACAAGACGAAGGACGAAATCACTATCCCAGAGCTCCCCCCCGACTCAGAACAAGTCCAGGGGACACTGACAAAGGAGAACTTGGTAAACACATGCCTGAAACTGCTGAAATGATTGCAATGGAAGTAAAGAAACAACTTCATCAGGCCATAGAAGAGATGAGATCAGAAATAATCTCCTAGGCAAAATACGAAATGACAATAATAATGAAAGAATTGCTCAAAACGTCTAAGGAAGAAACATATAAGAAAATAGAAGAACAAAGACAATGGACGAAAACATTAAATGAAAAAAAAAGAAAGGTCTTAGAACGCATGAACCAGGGTCAAAAAGACTTCCAGGAAAACAAAACTTCCACTGAAATCTGCCAAAACCAATTGAATGAAGCTGAAGATAGAATCTCAGATTTTGAAGACAGCATAGCATCTAGCGACGCTGGAAGAAAGGATCTTGTAAAATCAACAAGGATCCAGGAAAAATCAATTCAGCAGCTGCAAGACTATGCAAAGAGGAATAACGTACAGCTAATAGGAGTCAATGAAATAGCAGGAGGCAACACAAGTGACATAAAAAGAGTATTTGCAGAAATAATAGCAGAAAATTTCCCAAGTATGGAAACAAAACCTGATATACACCTAAATGAGGCATACAGAAATCCAACCAACCACAACCAAAATAAAACTATACCCAGACATACAATAGTCAACTACCCAGATCTCCAGCAAAAGAACAGAATATTAAAAGCTGCTAGAGAAAAGAAACAGATTACCTATAAAGGAAAGGCCATCAGAATCATGGCAGACTTCTCAGCACAAACCATCCAAACCAGAAGAGCTTGGAGTGAAGTATTGCAGGTCCTGAGACACAACAGCTTCCAACCAACACTGATGTACCCTGCCAAATTATCCCTCAAATTCAAAGGAGAAATGAAATATTTCCACAACAAAGAAAAACTGAAAAACTTCA